TGGATCCCGCGGAACAATCTATGGGCATGCTTAAAAACATGTGGAATCGATGGCAAGGTATTACCAATCGTCCAATCACTATATGTTGATAGGAAGTGCCGCATCAGAGTTAATGGCGTTAAGTCGAAACCTTTTAGCGTTGACGCTGGTCTTTCCCAAGGCTGCGTTCTATTTCTTCACCCGATTGTACTGTCAGTGGATTGAACAGTCAAGCGCAGCCAGGGCGATGAATGCATCAGTATAGGAAATGTCGAGATCAGAAGACTGCTGTCTGCAAACGACCTCATTTTGTTGGCGTCATTACTCGGTGCTTGACCATCGCGCCCAGAAAACGATGACAATAACAAACTAAGTCAAGTGATATCCGCAAAACAAAATGAGACAAGCGAAATAAACAAACAAAACTGGTGTGAAACAGCCAAATATTGGGGAAGCAGCATGATTCTGAAAGATGAGCTGCACTGTACAAAAAGTTTACTTTGATCAAAAAGGGGGAGAATACTCACGTACAGTTGCGAAGCCGTGATCATGAACAAAAATGCAGCAGAACCTACACTGAGGTGGAGGAGGAATGCGTTAGGCAGCACTGTAAGAATGGATAAGAAATCGTATAAATGAGAATAATAAATCAAGAAAAATTAAACGGCATAGAATTAAACATATCGCATGAGAAAACAAGCAAATTGACCAACGAGCAAGTTAAAATCAGTGACCATAGTCACATGTAGATACAGAAGAAAACGGAGTTATAAATGTTGGTGAAGTTTTCACTGTCATTAATTAAGCGAAAGGCATCGTAAGGTTCATGCAGATATAAAGCTGTATGCAAAGAAACACTGTGAAACACTCTTAACTCTTACGATTGTCATATTTATTATTCTTTATGCATATTTCTGATTTCTGTTTCTCTGTGCCGACAATCAGAACTTACGGGAGATTTATCATGAGGCAACGACACTACTTTATTGCAGCGCACCATATTCTCTAAGTTCGACTACGTCTATGTTATTCTAATCTATTTTAAAGATGGGTTCCCTGCTAGAAAGTCTCTGACAAAGGAGTCTGCAAAAAGGTACCGAATATCGAAAGGGAACTTAAAATGAAACAATATTTAAACTTCAACTTGTTTATGCATTAAGCGCCACAAAATTACAGTAAAATACATCGCATCCGCATTATCATCAGGATCTGGTAATCTGATTACTCAAATGCAGCAGGCACTATCCAACTTCTGCATACCTGTAGCAATTTTTCTTATGCACAATTGCAAACGCTTCAGACTTTTAACTAAAAGCGACGTTTGACGTGGTATTTCATTCTGCTGTGCACGTCCCCTCTGCTCCCGCTGACAGGTGTGACAAAGAAATGATCCTGTTGGCTCCGTTAACTCTCCAACAAGTTACCAAAAACATGTCGAACCTTCATTCTCACTATCACTAGAACCACATTCACGGGAAACTATTATAATCTTCTTCAGTATGACCATAGTTATGAACACCACAAAGGTACAATATACCGTACAAAAGACGTATCAACAACAAATGCAACGAGTACGACAGGTGAGGCAAAGTTACCTGTGGATATAGTTTTCACGATTCGACGGTATATCGTAATTTATCACTAGGCTAATCTGTTGCACATCGATTCCTCTAGCCAATAAATCAGTTGTAACCAACACTCGACTGGAACCGCTACGAAATTCTTTCATAATCATATCACGTTCGCGCTGTTCCATGTCTCCATGCTGCAAATGTGACATTTAATGTAAAACTGAAAAAATTAATTATACTCTACTTTACTACAACCGTTTAAGGTTGCAATGCGAAATAAAATGCACTTAAATACGAAAAGATGACAGCGTGAACTAACTCGTTTTAGTTTATAAGGGTTGTAAGGTCGAGATGAAATCTGGTCTGTGGTACAACTTAGACAGTCGCATTTTTACATAACCATTGTTTTCTTCTCGACATGCCTCGCTAATGGACCAACTTCCAGACTCGTAACTTGCCTATAACTAAACCAAAAATCTGACACCAGCTTTATGGTGGTAAAAGTACGAATGCTATAAAAGTGTCATATTATGGTGAGTTTTGCCAAGAAACTTTTCTCGTTGCAAAGCTTGATTAACCTCAGTTCTGCAGTCACCGTTTTCCTCAAGAAAAAGACCAAGATGCTAGAAAAAAATTACCTACTGCAACTCATTTAGAATCTAACAGCCAGAGGAACGAAGAAACTGTAACAAAAGGAATCTTTGGAGTGGAACAATTTTGCACAACTATGGTACAGATAGTGAAAAACACCTTGCTCGAATTTCTGAATCATAAGCAAACAAAGCCACTCAATAATCAATCACTCGCTTATCAGGACACTAAGCACAGCGGTTGAATGTCGGATTTATTTTCTGGGCACAAACCAACCTTACACCTATTTAGAAAAACGGATGGGTAAGTGAAAAATTCTGCGCTGAAGCTAATCAAGCTAAAGTTGTAACCCCACTTTCATAATGCTGAACAAGAACGATAAAGGAACATACCATTGCTGAAACCGTGAAAGATCGCTGGGTCAACTGGTCCGTAAGCCAGTCTACTTTCCGTCGGGTATTGCAGAAAATGACCGCCTGTGCAATACTTGTGGTCGCATACAGGTCGCAAAGCGTTTCCAGTTTCCACTCCTATAAAAATTCAGACTTCGTCTCGCCAGCACCTCTTAGACTCACCTCCTTTTCAACGTTCACAAAAAACTGCCTAATACCCTCGAGAGTGAGTTCGTCCTTTTTAACCAAGATTCGGACCGGATTGCGCATGAAACATTTGGTAACATCAAACACTTCTTCGGGAAGCGTTGCAGACAAAAGTATCACCTGAAAGTCATGAAAACCAAACTACGGACACCCGCCAATGCATGCCAACCTGAACATCAGTAGGCATATATTGAAACACGTCGTAGATTTGCTGCTTGAAACCGCGGGTAAGCATTTCATCTGCTTCATCAAGAACAAATATCTTTATTCCGTTAGTACCTAAAAATAAACACACCAGCCGCGTTAGTGCATCCAACCAATTCGAACTAGCAAGTAGAGAGTGGCTGTTTATCAATATTCTGAACGACTGCTTTTATCCCTTAAACAGAGCTGGTAGTAAATTCAGTTTTCAACTTGCAACGGTCGAAGAAAAGAAGTGGATACACAGAACAAATACGTTTAGAAACAGTTTGAACAAACCATTAGTCTGACGGAACAACGCGCTGTCAGAGAAGTCATGAAGAGTAGCAGAGGTAGTGCAGCAAACCTTGACATCTGCGCGAGGGCGAAGCACAATGCGAATCGAAGGTACAGTCCACGGTAGAAGAGCATTACAATGGTAAGTTTTGTGCGCTTTCAACCGTTACGCTTTTCTGTACAGAACAGTTACAGCTGTAATCATTATTTGAGCCAAGCTAGCCTGAAGAGCGAAGTCCTTTCGACTGATGAAATCCAAGCCTTACAAAATAATGTCTCATTTCTCTTAAGCGCTGTTCACTGCTGCAGTGAAGGTAATATATCTGCCTATAATTGCAACTATATCTGCCTGCATGAGATGCTTTGCAGTTTTACATAGCCTACAACGTATCTCAAGAGTGATGGACGGTTCCTATCAAAGAAAAGTATTGAACAAACTTGTGTCCTTTTTTAACTGATTTATCGAACCATGCCTGGCGTCCGTCTTCCAGTTTCTCTGACAGTTCTTAAAACCGCTCATCATCCAGACCTGCACCTGTCTGTGTAAAGCTTTGTTAAATCACAGTTCTCCTTGTAGACATTCAGCTGTTGCCAGCCAAAATTCGAGATTTCAAAAGTTAAAGCTAAACGGTTTGTAAACGTCAACCGCACATCGCACAAAAGATATAAACGGCATGTACTTGCTATAAAACCTGTACAACAAAGTCACAGGTGCAGCCGTGGACACCGGTGGTTTCATTCAAGAACAAGTTGCTAGTTTTCTGGTAAGAATGACGAGCTAACAAAGTTCTGAAACGAAGGGATTTCGTACCTCCATAATTCATGCCAAAAGGGTTTCGCCGTATACTTATGCCTTTCTCTCTCCTTTCAGAGTGGTTGTGGCCATGATGAGCAATGTCAGTGCTGTGTGAAACCGGTTTCCAAATAAAATTTTAAATACATTTTGGTGACCCTAAAAAAGGAATAAATTTTTTATTTTTCACTGACGAAAGGGAAAATTCCGTTCAGTATATGCATACGCACATGCCTAGTACATTTTCCTTCATCCGACCTACGTGCACGAGGAGATCGGTCTGACTAACAACTCCACATTGCGTGAACTCTAATGTACTTAAAGGTCGGTTTGCTGGCAAAAAGGAAGAAAAGGATAAACAGTCAACCGAGACTAATCAATATACTCAGTCAGTGTTTCTCACACTAAAAGGATTCACTTCTCTAAATGACTACTCAGCTTGGCTCTATTAGCAGTCGGCTATAACAGGTTTCACTGCATAGAGAAAGACGAAGAGAAGCGAGAAACAAATTGTTTTGCAATGTCGAGAAATAGTCTATTGGACACAAGTTCCATTAAGGCATTCCCGAGTGCGTAAATGTAACGTGTAGTGTATCAGAATATTCTCCACCTATGGGATCTACGCGTTAGGAAATAAGTATCTTGGTACCTCAACCCGTTCCAAGAGGTGCAACTCAAAATGTCACCATGAATTACTCTTCAGATATTTTTTCATTTCATTATCATTGTCAGCCTTTTCTGATCTACTGCTGGATGAAGGTCACTGCATGACTTCGCCATAGACATGTTTTTTGCCAACTGAATCTATCTTGCTCTAGTGAACTTTTTTATCTCATTCTGCCATCAATCTGGAGATCATCCTACGGATCGTTTATTCCTTCCTAACACTCAGTCCAATGTTCCTCTGATCAAGCGATGGTAGGTCCTTCTTGCAACACGTCTTGCCCACTGTCAATTTAACTTTTTCACTCGAACAATGACATCTCAAACTCGTTTGTGTTCTTATCCATTCATTAGTCTTCCAACCTTTTCTTTTTATTCCCACATTCATTTTTCCATGCCGTGCTGCGTCGTATGCAGTTTATGAACAGCTTTCAGGTTTAGGGCCCATGTTTGTCGCACCCATGGGTTACCACTGAGAGCACACACTGATCTAAAACTTCCCGCCTCAAGCGTAAGGGCCGTTTTCATAATAGGAACATTTTCAGCCAAAATGGAAAATATGTCATTTTTATTCTTCTGTTGATTTTTTACAGTATGCTCGCAGTTGCAGTGATGAGTCGAGACGCAGTCCTGCATTTCTTCCATCCTAAGTCCATTGACTTTAACAAGTTGCGGGCTCATATCTGTTAGAAATGGCCTCGGTCTTCTTCAGATTCATTTCCAGATACTTTGACGCTAGAGTAGTGGAACGCTTGGACTCTTCTTTCTTCTTCTCTTGTGATCTTGAGAACAGAATATAGTTCGCAAACTGCAGGTGACTTAGGTAGTAACCATTTACCTTCAGCCCCTAATTTTCCTCACGAATCTGACGTTAATTGAACTGCTTTTTTGCTACAGGAAACAGCATCATCCAACACCATAAAGAATGAATCACAATATAAATGAATCACTCTTGTCCAATTCTAAGCACGCGCAGAAAAAAATTTTTAAGCGACTTACGCAAGGCCTTTCGCTGAATCATATCGTGCACTCGTCCAGGCGTACCTACCACCACCTGGCTGCCCATTTCCAGTCTTCTCACATCATCGATGACGTTTGTTCCACCAATGCACGCGTGGCAATCGATATCCATGTAATCTGACAACGCTGCTATCACCTTTTGTATCTAAATTCAATCTGTTATAAGCTCTTTGCTACAGGAACGAATGCTACAAAGAAGCCTGAGCTGTCCCCAATAGTAATCAACTGCGCTGTACATATTTAGACTGTACCTTAAGATTCTCTAGAAGTAACAGTCTTCTAAAAAATAAATCAACGAAGGTACATAAAAATAAATGCACGTGAACTCAACTTGATGAGACAGACTATTGCCAAGAGTGCAGCTTAATACAGTTTTAGTTACTCTGGACTACGTCAGCAAATTATAGACATGGAAACGTTTTTTAAACATTTACCTTCGATGAGAAGCTAAATGTTAAAAAACATCGTACAAGTCGGACTTGGACAAACATATGCGCACTGCCGCACACCGAACAAATGTCAAGGCTGGAAAGCTTCAAATAATGAAAGTGAAGGCCCACATGATTAATATGATAACATGAGTGCCGCATGCAAGTTCGGTTCGAAAGCTGAGAACAATTATTACGCAGTGTCGCTAACGCTACGGCGTTATTGCATCGTCCCCACACTACTAGTTGTCTAAGATATCAGTAGAACAATGAACTGCTCCATATATTTAATATGCATTGATATATTTAGCATCATTTTGGTTCGAGCAAGTCATTGCTCGTTACGAGCGATTATCGTACGACGTATCTATGAGCCACGAATATCGCTGCACTAAATCTCACAATCACCAAAGGTAAGATCGGAATTTTAAATTGGGACACTACTGAACAACAGCCAGATATGAACTACCTAGTGTCTCATTCTGAAAAAGGTTCATCAGATAAAGACCCAATAGATGGATGTTTGTTCATCCTTTAAACCAACAAACCATACTGTGTACAGCAGAACTTTGCGTTGTTTTCAAGGCATTTCTTCAAATTCAAGAAAATGTGAGACGTTTCGTGCCACTCACAGTAGGGGCAAAACTACTATCTAGCCAGAGTCTGCCTAAATATCTACCTGTATAGATAGTCGAATTAATAAGCTTTTCAATGCTCAAGCAACAGACCTGTAAGCCATCAAACTATTAACACGATGCAGGATACGGCTACAAGAATACAGTCAGAAATTATTCTTCAAAGTATCTAGCGCACTGCGCACTACATGCACTTTTTATAACCAATGATACAAAAATTTTTTCAACAGCACGCCGGAACATGTAATTGCTATATTAATTATAGGCTTTAAAGAAGGCTGCATCTAGTGTTCACAGCAGGAAATATAAAATGCGCCGCTGTAAGCTTACTTGATTTACTAGATCTGTATCAAATGCTATAAATGAAGCAGCTAAGATCGTAAATACGCCAAAAGAGAATCAACGAATATGTGGAAGAATACTTTCCACAGTCAGGGAAAAAAGAATACTTTAATCCTGTAAAGCAAATCTATCTACGAACCCAGGTAAAAAAACTCAGGGAAATCATTTGCACTAATATTCGAAGAAAGGGTAGCGAGAACTATTCATCAGACCACTCATCATTTCAACGGAGGATGATTATTCAGTTACATGGAAAAATTCTTAGACGACGCCAGAAGAATGATAGCACAAACAACAATAGCAAATATAACGAAGATATATCCACGCAACCTGGGTGAATAAAACAAGAAATGTGGCGCAGTAATGTACACAACCCGTACAGTGATGTCATAATCCTATTTAAGTTTCATATTACTTACTCATATACACTTTCACGGCAAAGAAAGAAGTATTCCTCATGTCTGTAATTCATATATTCACAAAGCCAGATCGTTATGATATACAGAAAGAACATAGTCACCTGGTTTCTTGCAGATTCGGTGTGCCTGTTGAAGTCTCTTCGCAAGCCTCGGGTTAGGGAACCCTGTTTATAACGGCGGTCGAGTATGCACTAGTGACGACTATTGTCCCGACCGCTTTTGGGTTCTGAATTAGAAACGATTCACTCACGACGTGTGAGGGCGAAAAGAAAAGCTGTTCGAATCTGATCAACCACGGCAGCGCAAACAAACCCTCGTAATATCCGTCGAACAACTTACCGTAGGGCAGCTACACAACAAGTCACGAAACTGCGATAATACAATCACGATAGAAACACAAACATGTCACACTGGTTTCGCAGTGGTTTTTCCTCCTGAGCAGGTGACTGCTTAAGAAAACGGAAAAAAACTTAGCTTTATATCAGCATCAGATCTGGACGTGAAAACGTACCCTGCCAATAAGGTGACACTGGTACTAATCCTACATGAGAATACCAAGGGCAAAGTTTCTGTTCCGCACAAAGTCTTTCATTTTATTCAGATAAACGAAAATAATGCAATATTACATATTTTTGTAGACTGACAACTTTTACACACCGACTACAGCGTGAAGAAATTGTGACAAAACAAATCTAAGGTGATACAGTCATGCATATCCCAAGTACCTGAGCCAAGCAGAACACATCTCAGCGATATGGAATTTAGGGTCTACTATTCTGGCATAAGTCTAGAGGGATGCTTTTATTCAACAATCATAAACCGAGCAACCCGGACGAAATGTTGAAAGTGGTTTACATGTGCGGAAACTGCGATAAGACTTGCATTGGAAAGACCTATCGGAAATTTAATATCCAAATTAAAGGTATCTTTCCACAGTCCGCCTTGGACAAGGCTGACGACTCTACTCCTTCGCAATGCGCCCCTTCTGAGGTACACTTAAGCAGAGAGATGTATATAATCGACAATGGCCAATCAAGAATTGGTATTTGGATAGAAGAGTCAGAGCATATTCTAGCGATGAAACATTGTACGCACAATGAATACACCTCGTCTGTTGTAATAAATAAATGATTGGCTGCCATAAACAACTTGATAAAAAAAAATTTGGAACGGCGTAACGAGTGGTTTAGCTTAAACCCTAATGTTCAAAATTATAAATATACTGCAAAATATTATGTAATTCTTTCACTCAATTTAAACTTAAGTATTTTGTTGTGCGCTGTCTGTCATATCGCTGTGCATTGATGATGCTACAGAGTGCGAATTGGCAATAAAATGTCAACATCTGCGCTGTTTGGGACTCTCAACCATGTATCGGCAAACCATATGCAATTTCAACAACGGGTCCAGAATCAGAATGCCATGCCAGATCTGCAACTCTTTGCTTCCAACGCGTTCGACGCCATGCTGGCATCATCGAGAGGTCGCAAATTTAAAGCCGTTTGATAACATTAATAACGTCAGTGATAACATTATCTGGTTATACAGTATTTGAATGACCTGGCATTGGAAATGCCTTGGAATTTGTAACTAAGCACATCATGAACTACTTTATTTAATGGCCCGGGTGGCATTTCAATGCACTGAAAGCAAGGTTTTGACATCTTTCTCGTTTTTCATTAACCCAAAATGAATCATAACTTAGCAGATTTCGTACAGAACAATTAATCTCTGAAGCAGGAAACAAATACTAATAGAAAAAGCTTCCTACATATCATTATTTCAAGAAATACACTAGAAGTAGAAAACAATAAAGAACGGCTAAGTTATACAACAAATCTTACTTTAAGACAAGATTTTATCGAACCATTACAAATTACTTTCTAAGTACAAACAAATTGTCACAAAAGCCTGCAATATTGCTGACAGTTACATGTCTTCCAGTAAAAGCTTATGCTTTCTATCAAGAACGTTTTTAAATCATTATCTATTTCACTTTTTTTCCTGCCTTAGTTACGCAACGCATTTTTTCAACAGTTTCTGTCAGCGCTTCAGAATGATGGTAGGCGAGGCTGTACGTTTGCGACTGAAGGTAATGTAGACGAAATCAGCTGCAACGATTCCACTAGAACAACTGGAACAATTGCTGGTGTATTCCAATCAACAGAGGTGACTTAATCGAATCAGTTCAACTCTACTGCAACCACAAAGCGCGTTCCTTTGCGTGACGATAAATGGTGTCCTCATTTGTTTGCAACGGTTATAGAACGTACTTATCAGGACTATTGGCGCTATGAACAAAAAAAAGTCTAGTAATAATCCATAAGCTAAAACGTATTCAGAAAGAAAACTTTCTCAGTTCGACGGTTGCAGGCATGAAGAAGGCTGAATTTCGAAAGACAACGAAGGACAGACACCGACACGCTTCTCTTAATGTTTGCCATAATGCTCGACTTAAAGCCCCAACCGAAAATTAGCCTCGGAATAAGTCCTTAGCCACTGAATTAGACGTTTCATGTTCGCTTTATCAGCAGACACTGAATTGGTATTAAATAGCCTGATATAAAATTTGCAATACCGCTTGAGCGGTTGCTCTTTACGCACACCAGCGTTCAATAAACATGCAAAGCAGCGCGCAGGAGTCTGTTAATAGTTTAAACGTTGCTAGTGAAAATTCCTCTTTCGTGGTTCCACTAGAAAACCTAGACACTATGCGAAAAGAAGCGCCAGAAGTTCGCGATCCAGCTATAAATTTTAAAAGCAATATAAGCCAATTTTTCTTAGCAAGTCGTAACTAAAAGTTTTAAGCAACGTTCAGTAGCTAAGACTGTAGATGATTACCTGCTGCGCCAGTTCTCGTGTGGGCGCAAGGACTAACGACTGGCATTCGTGCAGCTTAGGATCTACTTGTTGCAAGATGCCAATGGCAAAAGTTGCCGTTTTGCCCGTTCCACTTTGTGCTTGGGCGATTACATCGCGCTCTACAGGAAATTTACTTTAGAACATAAACGAAACAAAATTTGGCATGGTGAAATAAAATGAACGTCTGAGAAAAAAACAAGAATGTGAAAAATATGAAAGACATCGGCAAAAGACATAGACAACTATTCTGATGGTTGATCACTGATATTCTAAGTATCACGACAGTGATGGTGACGGCTTCTTAGACGTTATGGCTAACACTATATCGCATCGCCTTTGGTTTAATTTCTATACATAAATCACAATAAACACTGCCAATCTGCTAATCTTGTAGACGGGTAACTGCAAGGGAAGAAATGTGTATGAATGAAAACCGTTTACGAACAATACTTCTGATATTTTAACGAGACAAAGGAATGTTATGTTTACAACAGCATCGATTGAAGTTCTATGCAAGCAGTGAAGTAACGCATTAATTGCCATGACTCGTGGAATCAGATGACCAGATGGACAAGGAAAAACGTTATAAGCTAACTGGGATTCTCTGGAACTTGCGGATGCCCAACGGTACCAATGAGCGAGAATGCATCGCTCTCACTGCAGTCGATTGAAACATGGACTACTCTTCCATTAATGCATATCGAAAGCGTCATTTCAATGTGATGAAGCATCATTCAGTGCAGCACTGAATTTAGAGCATCCGTTAATCTTAACTGGCCCATGGAAACAACGTGAAAAAACAGCGAAATCGAACCCCCACGCCAGTTACCCAATTATTTAATTACGCATCGAACAGACAGAAAAAAGAAAGACGCTGCTAAACGTGGTTTTCCGTTACTGAGACTTACAGCATGGCATTAATCTTAATATCGATATTATCCGCCGAGAGCACTTAAATTTAATAACGCAGCAATTACGGCTATGCAATACGCACAACTTAGCCTACGATCGCCTAATTCTATTGTTTATAATAATATTCAGTTACCAACCCAAAACACAGAACACAGATGGCCCACACAGAATATTCCGTGCTGTCTGGAGTGAGAATCGCTTCGAAACTGTTAAGTGTATAAGCGGAATGAATGGATGAAGTCAAGGTAACGACAGGGAAAACCAAGAGTAGAGTGAAAGATTCGGGAGACAAAAATAGCATATGATAATGCGGTCCATGCAATAAACTCGAATGTCAAATATAACAATAAATACAAACATGACTAAAATTCTGAGTAGAAAAAGCCCGCAGGAAACATGATAATGACCGATGAAAGACGGAACGAACTTCAAAACAATACATTTACACTTTTAGAGAAAATATCAAATTCTTATTAGGTTTGTCAGAAGTCATCTCCAGCTAAGATAAACGACAAACACGTTCCAGAAGCCGCTCGATACCTGGGCTGAAGAGAATATCAGCCTTCACCAAGATGATCCATCAGTATTTCGCTGCAGTCAGGGACGGTTTGCTTTACGCAGTAAAACCGGCCATTTTTACAAGAGAACACAAACTCGACTGAATTGCCCTTAACAGTGCTGGCGACGCCTCGTGAGGTGGCGCGACAAAATTCTCGCGTTAAACGACCATAAAGTAAAATGAACCAGAAGCGCTCAGACGCGAAAGATAAGCGCTACTCGCTTGATCATTCAGCAGAATTCCAAAACTTCAATGGATCGTGAGCAGTTAGTATGGGAACTCCAACGCAGAAGACGAAGGAATGAAACGATGG